ATGACATTGTCAATGAGGATGGGCTTCTTCCCATCCCAAAACCTGCTGCGACCACACGCTGCAGTACAGGGCCCGTCTGTGGCTCTGCAAAACAACAAATTGCACTTTACCTTTTATATATATAGATAGATATATTCATTCACAGCATGAAGAGTCTTGACAGTTTATACTGTGAATTCATTTCAGCACTAGTAAGGGAATCTGACTGGAAGAAACATAATTTATGGAATTTGCACATTTTGAACCCAGAAAAGATGCATACCTTGACAAGAGCAGATGTTGCACATACAGGGAATCACCTCTGAGAATGTAGTTTTGTCACTTAAGAAATCCTTGATTTCTGTTCTGTGGGATTTTCTGGTTTTTATAGTAAGGGATCTGATCCACAGTACTGATTATAGCATGGTTTTGGGGTAGTGGGGGTCTGTGACAGCACAGAACTGCGTTTGAAATTGTAGTTTCCTTTCTTTGGCTAAAGCCAGTTGCAGTTGGGTTTCTATAATTGGCAATTGCTCCTTGCTGGCACTTTGGCTTCAAATCTTAGAAAAGAGCAGCTTCTGTTTTGCTTAATTTATGAAGTGTCCCTAACACTCCAGAATTCACCTGTGGAATTTTTAAGCTTCAGTGGAAGCAAAAGCAGGACATACATAAGGAAAAAGAGCCTACAAAATCTAATCCAGGTACAGAAGGATTAATATTGCACGTGGCTGAAGCAGCCTCTGCTGGGAAGTGCCAAACAGCCTCCATTAAGCTGTCCCATTTTTCTCTTCTGCTTACACTGTTTCAGAATCTGTTACCCCTGCATTTGTTCTCCATGGCCCAGTGTTTGCTCAGCCTTGCCAACACCTGAACATGTTTGTTGCACATTTGCCATGGTGACACATGCAGCAGTTTGCTCCCACTGCCAAATTCCTCCGTGGTGGTTTGCATATCCACTGTCAGGATGTGAATTACAGTTCAGCACCCACCTCTGACATGCAAATGTGTGTGTTTGTTTCTGAAGATGGGAGACTTCATTTTAGTCTGGTTTTGCTACTGATTTTTTTAATCCACTGCTTACCTACCGAGAGAATAAAAGTTCAAGAATGTATTCAAAATCCTGCATCTGTTGTCCGAGTAGTTTTTCAAAATACCACATCTTGTGCCCTGCTGCCCTTTCCCTGCCTGTGGAAGGGGCCTCGCTGTCCTGGGGCTGGGACACACAGCTGGGGCTGAGCAGGCTGTGAAAGCCATCGGTGCCGTTTCATCCGTGGGGGATCTGTGCACATCACCCTTTTGTCACCCCTAGACCCCGGCAGGCTGCATTCACCTTCAGTTACCCATCACTCCTACTGCCTTTCTCACCTTTACGCCCAGGAGCTGCTGGAAGGTCCCTGAGAGCTCCTCAGGTGTTCAGTGGTGGAGCTGCTGTTCCTCCGGGGGTGGCACACTGCCTCTGTCCCACTGATGTACCCGAGGGCCCCCGGTGGTTCCTGATGCGAGGCCCGGTGGTGCCAGCCCCGCCACCAGGTGCCCTGCTCTCCCCCAGGTGCCCTGTTCCCCCCCAGGTGCTCTGTTCTCCCCAGGTGCTCTGTTCTCCCTTTTCCCCCAGTTGCTCTGTTCCCCCCCAGGTGCTCTGTTCCCCCCCAGGTGCTCTGTTCTCCCCCAGGTGCCCTGTTCCCCCCCAGGTGCTCTGTTCTCCCCCAGGTGCTCTGTTCCCCCCCAGGTGCCCCGTTCTCCGCCGCCCTCTGGCGGCCGCGGGCGGCAGCGCGCCGGGAGCGCGGGGCTCGCTCTGGGGCCGGCCCGGTGGAGGCCCTGGGGATGGCTGGGCTGAAAACCAACTACTCTGAAACTTAACGTAATATTACACTTGTCAAAACTTGGAATTACGTGTGTATTCTGAGAGAGCAAAGCTAACTCCCTCATTTTGGAACCAAAAGAAGTTTTTACCACAGTGCCCAATGCTTATATTCATTTATCAATACAATGGCTTTTCTGTCAGTCATTTCTCCCTTTGGAGTTGTTCACCTAATATGCTTAAAAAATAAAATTATTCTTTATTGATAATTCTGGCAGTTACTTTAGATAATTTCCTATTTTATCAGACCAATATTAAACCCTAACTCTCTTTCCACAAGTTAGCTCCTCCATCCTAACTTGATGTCACCTGCAAACCTGTGCAAGAGTGAACTTGATTTCTTAATGTTCTCAGCTAAGCACCCCAGCAGCTGAAGCAGGTGAGCTCGGGCTGATCCCCCAGGCTGCAGAGGTGCTCCTTTGCACACCAGAGCACCTCCGGGCTGCTTCCGAAGCTGCCACCGCCAGGAGTCCTCACCTGCCCCTCAGGAGCTCAGCCGTTGGGAAGCCAGAGCAGAGCTCTGACTGTGCTCATTGAACACCTTTTGGCTTTTCCCCATGGGTGAGCTCCCACCTGAGGGGAGGTTTCCAGCTCTGGGACCGCACTGAAGGCTCAGTGGCACAGGCTGAGGCCACAGGAGGGGACACAGAGCAGGAGCAGGGCCACGTGCACCCTCAGCTTCGTGCAGCAGCCAGTTCTGGAGGTACAGAAGGGCCTGACTGCAAAGCCTCCCTGGGCATCACTGGGGGCAGCTCTGGTTTGAGCTGGTGGGATTTCCATCAGGGCTTCACCCTCCAGACTGGAGCTTTGGGGTCCTGCTGGAGCACAGAGCTGCTGGGGAGGCTGGTCCTGCCCCCAGCCCTGCCCCAGGGCTAGGACAGCACCAGGAAAGCAGCTGAGAGCCCCAGCTGGAAGCATTTTTACCTTCAATCACCCACCACAGGCAGAAGGAATTAAATCATTTGAGGCAATGAAGCTGGAGCAATGGGGGTGGGGGAGCTATTTAAAAAGCAACTGCACTAAAATATCACCACATTTGCACAACTCAGAGTTAAAACTTCACTTTCCCTCAAACTACACATTAACCTACACAGAACCACTGCAAGAAATTTCTGCTCTGTTCAGTTTTCACATTCATGTATGATTTTGCTGACTTTCCTTAACAGTCACCTTATTCCCCATTTTGCCTTTCCTAGGACAGAGGGTGTCCCTGCCACCCTGGCATTGTAGCTGTGCCCTCAGACTCCCGAGTGGGCCGGCACAGAGTGGGAAATGCAGCACCCACAGTGCAGCCCCAGGCACCAAACCCCCCCAGGGCAGCCCTGGCTCCATTCCTGCTCCAGGCCCAGGCTCTCACCGAGCAGCAATGCAGCACTGCAGAACTGCAGCAGGACCAAACCCAAGGAAATTGGTTCTTGCAAGCAGGAACCCCCTTCCAAACCCTGCTGGCCTCAGCTCGAGGGTGAAGCCACCACCTCTTCTCAGGCTCAGCCCAGGGGAGCTGCCCTAGAGAGGGGTTGGCTCTAATCCTCAGTAACTGGAGGCAGCTGCCAGCACCACTCCCAGCTGGGGACACGGCCCCAGCTGTGCCATGCCCCCGGGATGGAGCCAGCCCGGGCAGTGCCAGGCCTGGTGGGGTTTGTTGGACTGGTTGGGGTTGGCTGGGGGGCTGCAGCTCCTCTGCCCTTGGCAGTGTCTGGGAATGGAGATTAAACCCCCCAGCACTGGGGCTCTCAGTGTTGGGCCTGCTCACACCGACCTGTGGCATGAAAACACTGATCTGGAGGTTTTCTGGCTAATAAAGGACCTGAGGGATTGGCAGGTCATTATCTTTCTCCCTGTCTTCTTCAGATGATCCCTGGACCACCGGAGTTTTAGGCAGCCGGGACCAAAGCCGTCGGCGGGGGGGCTGGCAGGAGGAGCAGGGACCCCGTGCTCTGTCCCCAGGCCTGGCACAGCCCCGTGCCCAGCCTGGCTGGCCACCCCTTGGTCCCTGTCCGTCCCGAGGCCATGCCCTGAGAGCCCCCAGTAGATGGCAGCAGCCCTTCGTGTGTGTGTGTCCTCCAAGGGGCAATCGGCCCGCTCCCTTCCTGGAGGTTCCTCTCCACGGGCAGCAGCAGGGGGGCCCGGGATGGCCCGGGGTGGCCCGGGGTGGCCCGGGATGGCCCGGGGTGGCCCGGGGCACACGCAGTGGCCCGGGATGGCCCGGGGTGGCCCGGGGTGGCCCAGGATGGCCGGGGCACACGCGGGGCCGTGGCAGGGTCCCGTTGCTGCCGGGCACAGTGTGTTTTGTGACCCTACCCCCGGCCTGGCTGCCGGGCAGAGCAGGTTTGCTGGTGCCAGGTGCCCGTGCCCAGCCCGTGGGCTGTGCCCCTCTCTGCCTGCTGGCCCCTGGCACCCAGCCCGGGCACGCTCTGCACCATCCCCATCCGCATCCCCGTTATCCTGGAGTGCAGCCAAACACGGAGCTGGGTCGGACGCTGGTTTTGCATGAGTGGATTTACTTTAGAACTGACAGCTGGAACACGAGGGATGGCCACTGGGGACCCTGCGTGATGGCCTCTGTCCCGGAGGGCTGGGGACGGGCCACAGGGAGCTTTCCGGGGGGGTTATGCTGTGGGTGGCTTTGCACCAGGTGCTTCCTCACCCCAGGTGAGGTGGCTGTGTGGACAGTGCCCTCCCCAGCAGGACAGGAGGTGGCAGTGGGGGCTGCAGGAGCTGGCACTGGAGGTAGATTCCCCTTGGGGCCTCCTGGCCCCCAGCCCGCCCTGCCAGGCACGATTTTTAAGACAACCAAGTTCCTACTTGGCCATCAGAGCACCAGGTTGGAAAAACAAAGGCCAAGGGCCCAGAGAGCAAACTGCAGGAGAGGCTGTAACCTGGGCTGCACCCTGGGCACATCCCAGGCACTGGGGTCTGGTTTTGTTCTTGTTTTTGTGAGTGCAAACACCAGGCTTGGAGCTGCAGGAGCCAGGGGTTGGTCTGATGTCTTCATGTCACTTCGGAGGGGTTGGTCTGATGTCTTTGTCACTTCAGAGGGGTTGGTCTGACATCTGGTCACTTCGGGTATGGAACGTCGGGCCCCGCGGGGCACGGGGTGAGAGGATGCTGCGTTTGGGTTTGTGTTCCAGCGCTCTGTGGACACAGCTGGGCAGGGCTGGGCTCAGAGCAGGTCCTTGGCCGTGGCCGAGGGCAGGGCCTCCCGTGCCACGCGGGCAGTGCCCGGGCCTGACCGGCTCCGAGCGAGCAGCACCACCAGCTGCACCGTCCTGCCGAGCCCCGGGCGCCCCGCGGCCCCGCCGGGCAGCCGGGCAGGAGCGTGGCACCTGGGGCAGCCGCTGCAGCCCTCAAAAACCTCCCTGCAGCCCCTGCAGCCCGCGGCCGGGAGCGGCTGGAGCGCGGTGCCCCGGCAGCCGCAGCACAGGAGGGTGAGCAGGGCCCTGTCCTTGGCCAGGAGCTCGTGGAAGCTGGGCTTGAGCAGCAGGTACACCAGCGGGTTGTAGAGCGTCGAGGACTTGGCAAGGACAGCCGAGAGCACGAAGGCCAGCGCTGGCAGCTGCCTGGTGTCCCCGAGCAGCGCCCACAGCGCCAGCACGGCGTAGGGAGTCCAGGCAGCCAGGAACCCCAGGCACACGGCCATGCTCAGCTGCAGAAGGAGCAGAGCAGCACCATGAGCCTCCTGAGCACTCGGGGGACACCGACACCCCCAAACCCAGCCACACGCAGCAGACCCTGAGCAGCCCTCACAGCCCCAGGGAAAGGTGCTCAGCCTTCTGGACCTGCACTGGAATGTGGGAGAGCAGGGCAGCAACCCAGCACAGCCCGTGCACAGACCTGCTCCTGCTTCAGGCCACTCACGCCCTGTCCCACCTGGGGAACTCGGGAATGGCCTCAGCCAGGTGGGCACAAAGGACCAGTGACCTGGCAGGACCGGCTCAACATTGGACCCCAACAGCTTTTGGCAGCACTGCAAATCCCTCCTGCAACCTGCGTGGCTTGGGAGGCCTGGAAATGGGCTGTGCTCAGCCCCCTTCCCCGCATGGATGTGGATGTTTCCTTTGAAGCCAAGCTTGCAAGTTGTTTTCTTTCATGCTGTGTTTTTTAAAGGTTATTCGGGGTTTTTTACATATTCTTGGTAAATTATAGTATTAGCTTGTAGTCTGGGGAACAATGACTCATGCAAGCTCCTTTATGATCTTTACCAATGTAATTTAAGATGAAAACTCCTCCACCTGATGACTTTAAATGAGGAGCAATGTGTTGTTACCCACACTGACACAAACACCTGGAGAATTCCTCAGGAACAGCAGACACCGGGCAGGAGGGGCCCTGCTGCTCACCTGCCCATGGGCAGTGGGCTGGGCAGGGCACCCCGAGAACCCAGAGCCCCCAGTTCCTGGCACCTTGACCAGCAGCCCCATTCCCCTGTTCTTTGAGGAACAGCCCCCGTTACCCTGTTCCTTGAGGAGCAGCCCCATGTTCCCTGTACCCTGAGGAGCAGCCCCGTTCCCCGTGTCCCCGTACCCTGAGCAGCAGCCCCGTTCCCTGTGTTCCCCATTCTCCGTGTTTCCCCATTTCCCCGTACCCTGAGCAGCAGCCCCGCTCCCATTTCCCGTACCCTGAGCAGCAGCCCTGGTCCCTGTGTTTCCCCACTCCCCGTTCCCGTGGCGGCCGCGGGCCCCGCGCCGGGGGCACGTGTGCTGCCTCACGGCTCTCCGCGAGGCCCACACCGTCCAGAGGATGAGCGCGTAGGAGGCCAGGATGAGCAGGCAGGGCAGCAGGTAGCAGCAGATGAGGAGGGCGAGGATGTAGAGCGTGGCGGCGCGGCCGGAGGCCTCCCAGGTGAGGCAGCAGGCTGTCCCGTAGGGCTCGGGGCCGTAGCTGCCCCAGCGGCCAGCGGCGCGCCGGCGAAGGCCAGGGCGTGCAGCCACAGGGCCAGCAGCAGCCCCGCGGCGTGGCCCCGCGAGAACCTGCTCCCTGCGGCGAGGGGAGCGCTCACAGGGCACGGGGCAGCGCGCAGGGAGCTCACCCACAGCCCCGGCCTGGCACGGGAGCCCAGGGAGGCAATGGGGTCTGGCATGGGCCAGGCGTGCTCCCCTCGGGGCTGCGGAGCAATGCCCGGGCTCCTGGGCTCATTGCCAGGGCTCCTGTGCTCACGGGCACTGCTGGAGCTCCTGGGCTCATAGCCAGGGCTCCTGTGCTCACGGGCACTGCCAGGGCTCCTCCAGGCCACCCTGACCCTGGCACCTGAGGGACCTTTCCCTCCCTGCAGCGAAGCCCTGGGGGAGATGTTTTGTTTTTATTTTTGTCCCAGCGCCCATCGAATCTCAAATTCTCTGATCTTACAGCTCACCATAAAGCGCTGTATCTTCAGACATACATAGAGATTACATTTTGCTTTGAAACTAAGCAACTAAGAGCACGATGTGACTCTGCATTTCCTCACAGAAGATGGGCTGGGCTGTAGATGAGCCCCAATGCCAGGCTGCCAAGCACTGGCTGATGAAGAGCAGAGGCTGTGCAGGGAAAAGCCACTGCCACCAGGGCTGCCTTTCCACAGCCAGCCTACATCTTCATCTTTCCTCCCACCTTTTAGCCACCTCCTGAGCTGTAGTGCTGGCACAAATCCAAGGTGACTCTGCTCCAGCATTGTCCCTGAGGCACTGAGAGCTGCTGGGGACACACTGGTGGCCGGCAGCAGCCACTGGCTCTGAGCACATGGGCAGTGAGTGGGGCGAGAGGGGGAGAGGAGGGACCCTGGGGTGCTGGTCTGCAAACCAAACTGCTACGTGTGATTTCCCATTTTGTTTCTGGTTTTGGTCTTTAATGTAAAGTCTGTTCTGAAGATAAATGCTAGAGGGAGGATTAGCAGCTGAGCTGAGGAAATTAAGGACTCCAAATTGGAGTAGGAGCTGTGGAAGGAACGTCCATGGGCTCCCTCACTTCCTCAGGGGCTCTCTGCAGGGAAATCATTCACCTTAGCTCTGTGGAGGACATGCACGTGAAAACAGGGCTACAGACATGAGCGGTGACACTGCAACCCCAGCCCTCCTGTATTAATTATTTCAGTGAATGAAATACATTAAGCCTCTGGCTCTCCCACCGGGGAAAGCAGCTCTTGTTGCTCTGCCAGAGCTTGTGGCTCCCAGCTGCAGTCTGCTCTAGCCTAAGCTCAACTCTGTGTGCGGACATTCAAAAACCTGCAATACAGCCACACAGACTGGGACGTGGTTTAGAGCTGGACTTGGGAGTGCTGTGCTAACAGCTGGACTCAATGATCTTATAGATGTTTTCCAGCCTAAACTTGTTTCTGTGATCCTGTGACAAAATATTGCCTGGGAATAGGTTGCCCTGGGGCAGAGCTTTCCCTGCAAGGTGGAGGGGGCTCATGAAAGGAAAAGGGCTGTGTCACCAGGGAGGGTGGGGATCGGGCAGCACATCCCAGCACGTACCGTATGCCGGGTAGCAGACCTTGAGGCAGCAGACCGCGCTGAGCGCCGCCAGGCTGCCCAGGCTGCCCAGCCCCAGCAGGAGCCCGCAGAAGGCGTACAGCGTGCACACCGCCTGCTCCAAGAGCCACCTGCAAGGACACCGGCAGTGAGCCCGTCCCCCCGCAGCCTGCCCGCGGCTGCTCGGGGCTTCTCCGGGGTGGGAGTCCCCCCGAGGATGGTCCCGGTCCTGCGGCAGGGCTGGGCACGGGAGGGAGGTTCCAGTGGGCTGCACGCTGCCAGCCCCGAGCAGCAAATATGGGCACGGCCTTGCCCTGATTTGTGCCCTGAGCACCCCGAAGGTGCCCGTGGGTGGAGCTGGGCGTGCAGGAGCTGCCCTGACCCACAGCAGCTGCCAGCGCTGCAGTGCCAGCTTGGGCACCCACCAGCACACCCCTTCTGCAGTGAGGAGCTGCAGGGACGGGGAGCAGCAAAGCAGGAGCTGTGGGATGGCTGCCTGGGAGCTCCCGTGTGCCCCCGTGCCCCCCCGAGCCCCCGTGCCCCTGCCAGGGCTCTCCTGGCCCGCAGACAGTGCACACCAGGGCAGGGCAGCCCCCACGAGGTACCTGTGTGCAAAGAAGGACGCGGTGGCCAGCGGCAAGAGCGTCACCGTCATGCTCAGGTCACTGATGGCCAGGTTGACGATGAAGAGCTCGGCAGGTTTCAGCAGGGACCTCTTCTGATGGGCCACCAGCAGCAGCAGTGAGTTCCCAGACAGGGACAGGACGCCTGTGGAGGAGGCAGAGGATGGTGCTGAGCGTGACAGAGCCAGGAAAGGAACCAGGAGCATCCTGAGATGTTTGGAGGGAAACACTGCAGAATTCTGCGGAGGGTGGAGAGGGCTCCAGGCGTCCCTCTCTGGGGTGGGCTGAGCAGGGGGGCCCACGGGACCCACAGAGCTCTGTGAGCACATCTGGAGCTCCTTTACATTGGATCGGATCCCTTCCCCTCCTGAGATCCTGCAGAGGCCTTTGGTAGGAGGGCAGAGATGGGATGAGACTGCAGCAGGCTCGGGGTGCAGGGTCTGGCGCAGTCCCTTGCTGCAGCTGGAGGAGCAAGGGCCACTTCCTCCAGCTAGATAAACAGCAGGAGCTCTGAGAGACTGCTCTCTGATGTGGGGCCAGGGAGCTGGGCCCCTTGGCCTTCGCAACTCCTTCCTGGCAATGGCACTCCTGTGAGCCTGCACTGCCCCATATCACGGTAACAAAACAAACAAGAAGAAAGGCATTATGAAGATCAAGGAAAATCCAGACTAAACAAAAGAAGGCTCTTTGTTTGCTATTAATGTATTTAAATCAACAGTGGTGATTTAAGTTTTATAATAAGGGCTTTCTCTTTTTCATTACATAATTGTGATTTCATGGAAAAGAGGTTTCAGTGTCCTCAGAAGGGGAATCTTTGCTGCTTTTGGAGAATGTTGAGCAGGATAAGAGTTCCTCCCTAATGGATTAGGCTGCAAATTAAATCTCATGGCAGGAACCCACTTCCAAAGCCACTGAGTGGCCAACTCTGAGTTCCCCTCAGGGAACAGGACTCCCACGTGGGACCTGGGCAAATCCAGAGCTCTGCAGGCTTTGGAGTCACTGGAGAGCAGAGCATTGAGGTTTATCCTTCTTCCCAGCCTCACAAGATATTTTTCCCACAGAGCAAGTCTCACATCTGTGCTAAGTACACTTTATTAGCTTTTCCAGCTCATGCTGAAATCAAGGGCCAGCTCGAGCTCCAAATCCTCTCCAATGGACCTGAAGCTGGTGGCACCAACAGAGCCCTTGCCTGTCTCACCTCAGGTGGATGTGGTAGGAGTAACAGGACGTTCCTCAAAGTTATTCAACTTTTCAAATATTTAAAACCATAACAGGAACTTGCAATTCACCTGAGAGGGGAATGCAGTCACCAGACCATACTTTCGGGTAACATGGGAAGGGTCAGTTTAATTAATCTGCTAATGACTGGACACTTCTGGAAGCACCAGTGACTGAAAAGGCCTGAGTGTCTCTGGCAGGCAGCTGGATATGGGGATCAACAGGCCATCGTTCCTTACCAAAGATACTGAAAAGGCCTGAGTGTCTCTGGCAGGCAGCAGGGCAGGGACATGGGGATCAACAGGCCATTGTTCCTTACCAAAGACCAAATAGAGAGTGCCAAAAATCAGATCTTCTCTCTCCGATAAGGTGGAGGTGAACACTGAGGTGTTGGACGCGTTCCCCATCTGTAAAGCAAGATACACATGAGGGTGAGAGTGAATTGTGCCTGAGGAGTGCCCAGCTGCCCGAGTGCCCCAGAGGACACGGTGACACACGCCTGGCCAGCAGGATCCTCTGGCCAGCGCTGCCTGTGGCACTGAGCCCGGGTGGGAGCAGGCTGGTAACCCCACGTGGCTGTCACTCCTTCAGCCTTTCACTGATGAGCACCAGCCTTTGCATGGCAGCTCTCTGGGCAAGTCCTGGCCCTGTGTGACTGCAGCAGGCACGGCGTGTTGGACACAGGGACTGGCTGCTTGAGCAGCCCAGGACACCCCAGCTGGCAGCCCCAGGACACAGGGCCAGTGGTGGAAGGGGGCTCTGGGCTCATCTCCTCCCACCCTGGGTGCTCAATTCTTCACAGCCCAGTGGAAATTATCTTTTTTACTGTCCTGTGCTTTTCAGAGTGTCTGTGTACAGGGATAGGGGATTTATATATCCCTGTACAGACCAAGTGACTCTGGACATGAGAACGATGTTCTTCATTAACCTGATTGGAAACAACCTTCATTTAGAGCTGAGCAAGTCACTCCTGGATTTCTCATGATGCACAGTTCTCCCCAGGGCCACAGCTGATCTTCCTCAGGAGCCTTGGAAGCAGCCAGGCTGAACACAGCACGTGCACATCACCTCTGCAAGGCTTTGGGAAAGCGTCTGTGCATTCAGAGCACAGAGCCAGGAAAAAGGAGGGACTGTGGCCACACAGCTGCACTGGTGACCAGACAGGGCAAGGCCCAGCATAAACAGTCTGGAAGGGACTGTTCCTGCTCCTCAGCACACATGCAGCAGGGGAGAGAACTGGCAAAGCTTGTAGGATTTGATTTCCTTCAGATCCCTGGCAGGTCTCCATCCTGCAGGGATACACCAGGGGAGCTGCAAGTGTCCTGTGAGATCAGGCTGGCAAAAAGGACCAATAATCACAGGGGAGGAATTTCTATTTCTGACATATTATTTATGATAAACTCTGTTTTTATGACTGTGCTTGAGCTGCCTGTAAAGCACACCTCTCTCATTCTAATACAGAACTGATGAAAATGCATCTCTTGCTGTGATCAATGTGCTGATGTCACTGACACATAGACAGTGGATCAGTTTTATAGAAAGGTGGAGAGCTATCCCTTCTGTGTCCAAAAGGAAATCATAAATGGGATCCTCCCATCAAGGTGCTCCCTCAGGTGAGCATTTGGTGGGGATGCCTGCACAGGCACATCCTTTAGTGGGGAGTCACAAACTGCAGAAATATCAGCCCAGGTACCAAACACATCCACAATGATTTCTGACAGAAACAGCTACAGGAGTTTCCTTCCAACTCAGAAATATTCCAAACACATGACTGTGCTCAGTCAAGACTAAATCTGTGACTCCTCGGGGGGGATTCAGCCTAGACTGTCCTGGGGGGCACAGCCAGCACTGAGCAGCCCTTCCCCATCAAACTGCTGAGCCACGTCGTCTCTGGGCACGCAGAGCTGCTGAATTTGATTTGAGCTCCATTGCCCAGACTCTGTTCTGAGAAGAGACAGACTGTGAAAGCTCCTTTCCCCTCAATTTAATCAGACTTCAAAACGAGATGAAGTTGTCCAAGCAGCTGCTGCCAGAGGTACATTACCAGGAAGCCCTTGTATTCTGCACCCCAGCCCTTATTGCTGTGCTCGCAGGAAGAATCAGACCCAAACCCAAACCCACACCCCGTGTCCGTGTCTGGCACCTGGGAGGACCCTGGCGTGGCTGGGCTGGCCTGACCACATGCACTCTACATGGAAAACCCTGCTTGCATTTTGTGTGATTGTCAGCTTTGCCCTTTTCTCCTCCAGACTTGAGCAGTTGCTTTCCTTCAGCAAACGTGCTACAAAGCCAGAGTCTGCCTTGGAGAGGAGGAAGAAACCTGATGAGCCTGGAAACTCTCCTGACCCCAGACTCTTCCAATAGCCAAGGGCAGAAATCAATTTCTGCAATTCCCAGCACAGGGGAAGGAAGCTCAGGCACTGTTGCCTTCCTAGCAAACAGCGCAGGCTTTAGAAAGTCACGGAGCGCAGGAGCGCGCAGCTGGGCAGCGCTCGGGGTCCAAACCCAAACCCACACCCCGTGTCCGTGCCTGGCACCTGGGAGGACCCTGGCGGGTCCCGGAGGAGTCCCCGGCGCTGCCCGCTCCTCTCCCGGCCGCAGGGACTCACCGGGGCTGCGCGGGGCCGCGGCTCCGCCGCCGCTCAGCACCGCCGCGACGGACAGCTCCGCGGCACCGCGCTGAGCCGGGCTGAGCCGAGCCGAGCCGAGCTGAGCTGAGCCGAGCCGAGCCGAGCCGAGCCGAGCCGAGCCGAGCCGAGCCGAGCTGAGCTGAGCCGAGCCGAGCCGAGCCGAGCCGAGCCGAGCTGAACTGAGCTGAACTGAGCTGAGCTGAGCCGAGCTGAACTGTCCGCGCTGAGCTGAACTGAGCTGAGCTAAAATGAGCTGAGCTGAACTGTCCGCACCGAGCTGAGCTGAGCTGAGCTGAGCTGAGCTGAGCTGAGCTGAGCCGAGCTGAGCTGAACTGAACTGAACTGAACTGAGCTGAGCTGAGCTGAACTGAACTGTCCGCACCGCGCTGTCCCTCCCTGCCTGCTCTGTGTCCCTCCCGCACTGCTCTGTCCCCCCTGCCCGCTCTGTCCCGCTCTGTCCCCCCTGCCCGCTCTGTCCCGCTCTGTCCCCCCTGCCCGCTCTGTCCCTCCCTGTCCCGCTCTGTCCCTCCCTGTCCCGCTCTGTCCCGCTCTGTCCCCCTCTGTCCCCCCTGCCCGCTCTGTCCCTCCCTGTCCCGCTCTGTCCCTCCCTGTCCCGCTCTGTCCCGCTCTGTCCCGCTCTGTCCCGCTCTGTCCCGCTCTGTCCCGGCTGAGGGACAGGGACACCGCCTCCACGGCCGCCCGTGTCCCCCCCTCAGCCCGGTGACCCCATAACCGACCCTGGAGCCGCGGTTTTCACGGCAAGGGAAACTGAGGCACCAAGAGGGTGTTTTAAAGAGCTCTCCATGGCCTCAGCACTCCCGGGCTCGCTTTTAGCCCTGCTTGGCCGCCCCTCTCCTGTGCCCCGAGGAAAACAGGCCGGTCACTGGCTCACCTGTCCCTGCAGACCCGGCTGGCCAGCGGGCAGGACCCTGGCAGGCTCTGAGGGGCTCCAGGGACATGCTCAGAGTGACGTGGGGATCGTCGCACTGAGTCTGCTGCAGTTGGAGCTGGGTTTTGTTTCCACCCAAAGCATTTGATCTGTCTCTGCTTGGCAGAACACGAGTCACAACCATCACTTAATTTTGTTAATATCCTCCACACCAAGAGCTTTCCCCTGGTTGCCAGGAAGAAATTGGAATGATATAAAGATCCTAATATTAATTTTTAGAGTTCCAAATACTGCCAGGACTACTGGTCAGCTTGGATCCAGGTGCCGAAATTTGCTTCAGAAAGGAAATCCAAAGCTGGAGAGATGCACATCAATAGCTTTGTGTACCTACATGTGTGAAAGAGAATAATTTATGGACTCACCAGCTATGTAAATAGATGCATACTGAGATTGTTATAAACTGAAAGTTATTTGTCGTTTATGTTCCAGAAACACAAAAAGTCCCAGCCAAGTCTGAGGCCCCGCTGTGCAGCCTCTGCACATGTCCAGAGTTAACCCAGAAATCCCAACATGGCCAGGGAATGTGCCCCACTTTCTCCCTTTCACCTGGAAGGGACTTAAGGAAGATGTTCAGTGCCCCCCACGGGACAGGGAGTTCCCAGGATCTCACACAGGAGCAGCAGCACTTTCCACTCCCCATGGCACTGCCAGCGTTACTGCCCTTTGTGGGCACACTGCAGCCCTGCACTGCTGCTTTAGCACGGCTGTCCTTGGGAACCAGCCTTCCCTTTGTGGGCACACTGCAGCCCTGCACTGCTGCTTTAGCACAGCTTTCCCTGGGAACCCAGCTCCTTCCCTTTGTGGGCACACTGCAGCCCTGCACTGCTGCTTTAGCACGGCTTTCCCTGGGAATCAGCATTCCCAGTGTGGGCACACTGCAGCCCTGCACTGCTGCTTTAGCACGGCTTTCCCTGGGAGCCCTCCTTCCCAGTGTGTCTTTCCCCAAGAGCAGCTCTGCTCCCCAGCAGCGCTGCATCCAGCACCCTTCTCACCCAGCCTGGGAAGAGGCAATGAAGCCTTTGGGATAATTGAGCTCTGGATTGTGAGGCGGGGGAGCTGTGTGAGAAGGGGAGGAAGCCCAGGGGAGATGCCATGGAGCACACACAGACCCCAGTGTGCTGCTTCCCCTCATGTCTGCAAGAGTTTTCTCAGAAGAGATGGAGGAGCCAGGGCTTGTGGAGGTGATGGGACAGGAAACCAAACCTGCAGGAAACCAGACTCTACACGCTTGCCTGTCCATGGAGCAGCTTTTTCTTCTTAGGCCTGAGCACACAGAGAGCTGTGCTCAAGCCCAGGCCCACCACCCTTTTAACATTGCTTTTTGTGCCATGGTCAAGGCAGAGAGTCTTCAAAGGGTCCTTTTGACCTGGGAGTTAACCAGCAGATTGTCTTCTGGAAACCAAAACTGACCTGAAGCATAATTCTTGGCTGTGAATCCTGGAGATGCTGGTGTAGTCTTTGTTATCTCAAGCAACTAATTTTGTTTTCTAAGTTCTGCCTTCTTCATCCTTCCAGCAGCTGGAACATCTTTAACAATGCCAGGTTCCAGATCCAGGAGCAAGCATTCCAAATTCCACCTCTGAAATGAAGATTATGGACTCCTTTTCTTACAAAGAACTTGAAAAAGGAAACAAACAAAATCAAATTACTGTGGCTCTTCCAAATGTGTGTCTGGACTCTTCTTCAGCCAAGGGAAGCTGGCAGGGGGGTGAGGGGCGCCCATGCCAGACCTCCCTGCTCTGGCCCAGGGCTGCCTCTCCTGCTCCCCAGCTGCTCCGTGGGGATGTGGTGTCACTCCTGCACCAGGTGAGGAAGGGACAGAGCAGCC